CGTGTCGTTGAGTTTGAAAAATAAAACACTTCACACGTTAAAAATTATAATTAGGCAAATATAAAATATAAATAAGTGACAAATGTATATATAAGTAATAAGGTATCATTTTTAAACATCTATCGGGCTATAAATACGGGTTGGTACGAGATCAAATTTACCATAAAGCCCTTCGGGCTTTATGGAATTTGATCTCGTGACCAACCCATATTTATATCCCGATATAGTCCAGTCAAATTGTCATAAACCTTAAACAAATTGCAACAGAATTTTTTTCTTTATTTATAATTAGTAAATTGTATTATAATCAACATATAAAAACTCTAGAAAAATATATAAAGGCGAAAGATGTGTTTTTCAGAAATAAATATTTACTGGTCTGATAAAATATGTATTGCAGAAATGTGCTACCATATGCACCAAGGGAGACAATTTTAACCACTGTAAACAAATCACTTTTCTTCTTAAAGAAGCATAATAAAATTTATAATTCATTTTGTATACATGCTTTGGTTTAAATTTCACCAATGCACTGGAGATATAAGATCTGAGAATCTTATATATGTCTAAACTTAACAATATATTGTTGAAACCTTAGTATATACTACATTATCTGCATCACAATTTTTAAGCATGTAGGAACCTTTCTTTCAAATATTAGGTCTATGAATCACAAGAAATTATATATTAATCATGTATTTCTGTAAAAATTCAATCTTCCAATTAATAATAACTCGTGCACATATATAACATGTATAAATTAGTGTTTACTTCTCTTTTATTAGATATTGGAAACGTTAGGGGAAATATTCTATGGAAAGTTGTTAGTGGTATTTTTGCAACATAAAAATATTTTATTACCTACAGTTGTAAAAGTTATATTTTGGTGTATGACCTTGTTTAAAGATTTTTTTTTCTTTAGAATATTGATTATATTAGTGAGATCTACTTTGCTATTTCCAAAAAAAATAGATTAGGCCATCTTGGAAAAATTTTTTGGTTGCCCTCTCCCGACTGACTGACTAAAAATGGCCCGACTCAAAACTTTTTTGTTTTTACATTCCAGGACATCATATTTTTTTTCTTTTTATTCCTCTTATCCTGTCAGCAAATATGTTGAAATTGTCTAGAAAAAAAAGATTTTCTTACCTACCTGCCGATTTAATAATTTTACCCTGAATCAGGAGAGGGCAAACAAACAATACTTTAATGATGGCCTTATTCATATTTTTTTGGGGGGGGGTGTGCATAATCACTATAATTATGCTTATTATGTATAGTATATTTTATTGTAATTTGTAAACATATTTCTTAAATATTATATTTGTGTCACTTTGATTCAGATTTCGCTTCTAGTTTCTATTTAACATAACCCCGGAGCCAAGTAGGGTCACACGAGGGCCGGGATCTAAATTTACAGGAAGTCTTTGAAATAAGCGGCGTTGTGGATTATTTGTATTTTTTTAAACACATCCTATTATGTAATAGATTTGTGCATTTCAGCTTTTTAAAAACTACACAACATTATCGACTTATTTTCCAAGTAGCATCCCAAATACACCTGCATATATAAGAAAAGTTTTGTAAAAATACTATTTTCCTATCACGAAAAATGAAATTTATCACTTAAAAGAGCATAGAAAATGATCAGATAGGTAATTTAATTGTCATAAAAATGACTCTAGATCTAAGCCTCTATAAGCAGCGCTTGTGAAGATTGGTTGATTGTATGTTGTTTTACGCCCGGTTCAAGAACTTTTCACTTATATAGAAACGTCACCATAATTATATCGGCAAAGTGCTTGAAATTTAGACCTTTACACGGCGCTTAGGGCTATTGAGCAGTGAGGGTTCTTTATCATGCCAACGCCTACATGTACCATGATATGGGGCCTTTAATGGGGTTTTTAAAGTCTCATCCTAAAGACCTGCAACGTTTACTTCAAAGTGCCGAGAGCTTAAATGATGTGATACCCCCCCCCCTCCCCCCGAAACACACACACAAATTACAAAATAAATCCAAAGGAGATATAAAAACTATCAATGAACATTATATTGAATACAAAAAGAAGCAATTTGAATATATACTATTGAGGTTGACATTTAGGTGAAGAACCAGTTCCAGTTTCAAGATTATCATTCATTTATTTTTTAGATATTCTGTGGCACCTTCAATGGATTTTTACGATATTACTTTTTATTATATCTTTTAATTAACCTTTCAGATAAAAGCAATGGGGAAAACTGACTTTTAAGATTTCGTTCAAGTGATACGTATCCATAGATATGACGTATTTCAGATGAATGTCCTAAGCATGCATTGCTTTAAAGGGAGATTTGTCGGGAAGGGGGGGACTGACCCCCTCCCCCTGAGATTTTCAAGAGTTAAAAGGTTATATGTAAAAGTAACAAAAACATGTCTATGAACCCATTTCCCCAGGACACTTATTAAAATGGCAACAAGTCATGTGCATTATGAACCCATTCCCTGGGGCACTTATTTAAAAGGCAAGAAGTCGTGTGCATTATGAAAAGAGACCCCCCTCCCTCCCTTCTCCTCTGAAAAGGTTTTTAAGTTTGAGGCAATTAATTTTATTTATTTTCATTTCCTTTTACTTATTTGTTTATTTATTTATTTATATTTGCTTGTCAGAAAACTTCCGAGACTTGACATCTGTGATATTTAATATGAACCCTCCCCCTCCACCCCCCACCCCTGATAAAAATTCCTGGGATGAGTGCTTAATTGTCCCCTATATATAATTTTTAAAAAAATTATTTTAACTAATAAAACTTGTCATTCCTACTATGGCTACATATTCTTTATCCCTACACAAAGCCATACTGAGGAATTGGAATAGTTTTATTTTTCAATTATGTCCGTTGCCATGGAAACAGGAATTCATAACAATTAATGAAATAATTACCAGTTTCAGTGTGCAGGATTCATTTCTGCATGACCTATCAAGAAAATTCAAGATCATATAGATGGCAAAACTATTTTTATGCATATATAGAGTGTCTTTTTAAACAGTGATTTATCGGCATTTTTGAACAAAAATCGGGTTTTTTGAAAACTGAAAAAAGTGATGTTTGGACAAATATATTTTTCTAGAGTTTTGATATATCAAAAGGCACATTATAAATAACAAAATTCTACTGGAATAATTTCTGTTGCAATTTGTTTAAGGTTAGGGTGTTTTAGGACTAAATTGACTGGACTAATAGATGTTTAAAAATGATACCTTATTTCTTAAATAACCAAGACATCTCAAAATGTTAATCTTCATAAATAAATAAAATGATTGTGTGTGTTTTTTGTTTTGTTTTTTTTTTGTTTTGTTTTGTTTTGTTTTGTTTTGTTTTTTTTGTTTTTTGTTTTTTTTGTTTTGTTTTGTTTGTTTTTTTTTTGCTTTTTGAAAATCCAAATGTACATTCAAATTGAAATTTTATTATTCTTTAATCAGCTACAATGTGAACAATTTATCAAGGTCACAAGTATTAGCAAAATTTGATGCGACTTCAAAAGATGATTCTTTGGAAGTAAGTAAGTAAATCAGCCATCGGAGACCAAAGTAATGCAAATATTTTTTTAAAATTATATTAGTTTACTAGATTATTTTTTTTTTTGTTCTGAATGTTATCTTACAGCTTTGCTATTTTGTATCTATTTATTTAATTTTGAGGCGGTTGATGCTGCTGCATCTTGTTAAATGGTTCACACTGTAGTTGATTAAAGAATAATAGAATTTCAAGTTTTGAGAAATCCACTATTTTAATGTACATTTGTAATTTCAAGAAACAGCAAAACACATTTTTTTATTTATAAAGATTTACATTTTGAGATGTCTTAGTTTGTTTCGAACAATATGTAAGCCTTAAAATGACCAGCATACAGTACATGTATATCAATTTTATTATGGGTAAATTACCTTAAATCCGGCAATAAATGAAATAACTAAGTTCATGATATGTATTTTTTCTTCTTGTTTTTTAATAATAGTCTAAGATTAAAACTGTGTAATTAATCATAAGGCATATATTTGACAGTAATGTGATTTAACCACATAAGAGACCAATAACAAAACAATATCCAGTTCCCATGGCTTATCTGAACTTTTTATTGAAGGGCCACCAATAGATTTCATCAATTACATACATCAAGATATTATTTAATTTAATTAAATTTCATTCGTATTATAACAGTATTTGATTAACAAAAAAAAAAGCAATAGGAAATATCAGAAAAGTTTTTAAGTGTTCGAGAAATGTTCGTTAGATATTTGTGACACATCTTAATAAGATGTAATTTACAGATGTTAAAATGATCGTTCTTTACTAACTCCACAAAAGCTGTACCCAGTGGTCCTATTATTTCAGATTGTGAGAGGTTCTCGGCATGAAAAGGCGTCAAGCTCAAATATAAGAATGAGCAGAATGTTTAAAAAGTAGCTACTTTTGATAATTATAACACAGACTTTCAGAGAAATGTTTACTTCCATTCATTTCTTTATGGGGCAATAAAACCTGAAGAATTATTGAAAATTGAAAGTGTATAATTAGAAAATTGCTGGAATTATAAAATGATAGCCCTTTAAATTGATAAAACCGTCAAATTATGTCAACATAATGATATTTGCTAATTTCTTTACTGTCGGTTAATTTAAACATCACCTTAGTCAAACACAATCGTATTTCAAAAGTGCAAATATTTTACACTATGTGAGAATATTTAATCGTTGACAGACAGTCGTGTCTGTTTTCGGTAAACGCACCAATAAGAAGCCCTTTCTGTGTGCGTACGCTCGACAAGCGCTCTCCAAGATCCAATTGAATTCAACTGAAAAGCCATTGACCAACGCCTGTTGAACTCTGGGAGGGCGGTACAATCTAAGCACCTTTCATTTATTTCCAAACGATATCGTATCAAAGCTATATTTTTCTGTGATATGGTATTATCACGTCAAGATTTTCATCAAATAAAAGCTTAGGGAGGAAAGGGGAGACACTAATACCCATTCGACATGAACCCGGTAACGGCGCTATACCCTATTACCGAGAAGGGGACCCGGAAACCAAAATGTGCTCGCTGTAGGAACCACGGAATGGTATCCTGGCTGAAGGGACACAAGCGCCATTGTAAATTCAAAGATTGCAACTGTGCAAAATGTAGTCTTATTGCTGAGCGTCAGAGGGTGATGGCGGCGCAGGTTGCGCTAAAGCGACAACAGGCAGCCGAAGATGCTATAGCGTTGGGGCTAAGATGTGCAACTGAGGGATCTCTCCCTATTATGACCCAAGGACCGCTCTGGGGACCTGGAACAGTGTCTCCTCCTAAAGAAAAAGACTCCAAAAGTCAAGAAAGCGAGACCGATGAACCAGAAGACAATTCAAGCGATGAAAATGGTATGTGGCAATTATAGACGTTATTTACTTTAACGTATGAAAAAAATAAATGTATAAAAACAAATTTAAAAATTCGATGCAAAAATGATTCCAAAAAAAGGAAGAAATATTCTAAGAAGTTTATGTGGTAAGAAGTATTTAAAAGACCCACCGAAATAGATTTTAAAAAATGAAGAAACACTTTATATAAAGAAATTGTCTTTTAGTTTGGAATAGCGTTGTCTATTTAACTTTAATTGATCAAAAAATGTAACAAAAATGAAAAAAGAATAATGTATTAACTTGTTTCCGAATTCTTTTGGAAATACTTTTCTGTATGTTGATATTTACTGCAAGAAATTTTGAGAGAAAAAAAAATAAGATTTAAACTGGGAAAAGGGAAATGAAATTCGACAAACATTATGTTGAAAAGAAAGTCATGTGGAACGATATATGCATGTAAAACCATCTATTTACGAATTTTATAACAAATATTTTTAATGTTAAGTTCTAACAATGGATATTAGGTCACTTCTTTAAAATTTTACGGTCCGTTCACATTGACATATTAGTATCATTTTACTTAAATTAGAAAAATTGACAAAATACCAATACAGATTTTCAACAATCTCACCAAAATACATGTAGTATACAAAGTGTCGTATTAAGTTCTTTATTCAAAACCTAAATTTTATGTATGCGTTGGAGAGGATACATTTTTTATTTCATTTTTTTTTAACTTTTGTCCGGTACAGTGTATTAAATCTAATAAAATATGTAACATCAAGTTAGAATTTTAAAATTGTTCTGAAATATTTGCAATATTTATTTTTACTACGAGTTAGACCAGATTAGAATCTTATTTCTCAGGCGTTAAGAAGTATCAAATTTACTACATAAAGCGCACCAAGTGATGAAACTCACAAAATTAGCCACAGTTACATTTCGGCGGTGTCAAAGCCGATATTTATTTTTAATACGTATTAGCCCAAGGTCCTGAATTTAATCTCTCATTGGAAACAAATGTTTGAAGACCACCATGGCTATAGATATTATAAGTAATCTAATATTTTAAATATCATATAATTTTTTCTATTTATTTTGCTTTCAGTCTTTAAAATAAATGTAATTAAACGGAAAATACTTTAAAACATTTCAGAAAATCAAACTCAGCAAGTGTGGTTTTTAATGATGATTCCTTTCATAATATTGATGAATAAAAAATTGATATTAATACATTGTACTCAAAATCTTTTAAAATGCATTTCTATTTTTAAAAAAGGGGGGTTATTTCTTTTAAAACGGAAAAATAAGCATAGAATTGTCGAAAAAGTTTTCTTTTTTTCATCTTTAAACATAAAAATATAATCAAAAACCTCGGTGTCCAAAAAAGTTCTTATGGCCAATATTTTTTTCTCGTTTTTTAACAAACATTTTATCAATATAAGATTAATTATGGTGGATATTTAATTTTAAATGTAACAAACAAAGCATTTTTAATTCTTTATCATTTTACTACAATGGAATTTTACAAAAAAGTTCTCCCTGAATGTCTTTTTATTGATATATTTCTTTCTTTCTCAGAACCAGCTCAGAATGGGAGACCGATTGCAAAGGATGTGACAAAACCGCGCCATGATACGTCATCACCAGATTCAACAGAGGAGAATGATCCCGTCAAAGTGAAGCCCACGGCACCAACATCATATTCGGTGCATTCTCTGCTGCCACCAAATGCATTTCTTCCTGGCCGTTTATCGAATTTAGAAATACTAGAGAGAATTTTTCCATTTCATAGGAAATCAGTGTTAGAACTTGTCTTACAAGGTTGTAATGGAGATCTGGTGAAGTCAATTGAACAATTTTTATCCAGTCAAGAAACAATGATTTCAAACCAAACTCTACCGCATGTGAAATCAGACTTCAGACCTCATCCATATTTTCAATATGGATCCGCCATGAAATCGTTAAATGGTATTACAAGATTGTCACCCACTGGTTCGGGCTCTGCTTTTACTCCCTTTTCGTCTGCTGGGCCGTTCAATCCTTCCGGGATCCACTCGGCCTTTCAATCTCATTTAACAAACTTCACAGCAGACACTTTACGGCCATCTTACATACAGAGTGTATCTGGTTCTGTCAGACCCGATATTTTCCCGCCAAACAATCAACTGACGTACCCTCGTTTGCATCCACTTACGTCAGCACCACTTCCGGGATTCTTCAGCAGTTCGTTTCCTTTAACACCTTACAGAATAGATATGGGTGACTCCTGCCGTAAGACTCTCACAGAAAAACATGCAGGAAAATCCGTGAACACAGAAAATGGACACGAGCAAGAAATGTGGGATGAAGGGTCACGTGACCGAGACAGAGAGTGAACATTTCTTTATTTCTTTATTTTATCTTTATTTTTGTCAATGCAAGTCTTTGCAGATTTTGTTTTACTAAAATACTTCAGATGTTACTAGGTTTAAATAATAAAAATTGCAATCATAAGATCCTTTGTCAAAGAAGTGCTTTCAAACCTTGAAGTGTATATTTCTTCATTTTTCTGATCACAGGTAGCTTTTCAGTCTCTTAAACTTGATTTTTTTTCGACCGATTTCCCTGAATTTTTAAGTTTTAACCTGTTTTCTCAAAAAAGAAAAATTAGACGTTTATTGTCCTTTGTCATTTTAAAATATTCTCACATATTGGGCTTGAAATAAGATTAAAGAATCCAATTTTTATTTACAATGAGAATGAAGTTGTCTTCAATAAATGGAAATGGACGACAAATATATCGGATAACACGTCAGATAGAGGACTTGACTTTGGTGGCACTACATTTGTTTGGCTAGTCTTGGTCGTTATCATTTAAATCTGTTTATAAAAAGTCAAATACGGCCAAAGTTTAACAAATAGATCTGCTTGTTCGGAGAAGAGAGGTCTTTTCTGTTCAGATTTGGTCCTGATGTGTTGACTTTGAAGGCCACTTCACACAAGGTTTGTGTTTGTAGAGTTATCCAATATCTGAGACAGTTGGCTGGCATTGGTGGTCTTTGGTAAATCTGTATAAATAGATACTGACTATTAGATACATGTCAGCCGCCAAACATTAAACACAGGAACGGCATCTCTCTCTCTCTCTCTCTCTCTCTCTTCTCTCTCTTGTTCACAACAATTTAAAATTTAAAATATCCGTTAACATTTCGATTGCACAAAGTGATATGTTTGCAAAGGAGTGTATATACACAGTAAGAGATACAACTAAAGTTTCTTTATTCAAAACAAAACTAGTTCGAAATGTCTATATAAGTAATCAATTTTCTAAACACGATCATTTACTTGCTAGTGTTTCCTTTATATCTCAAACAAATGAAAGTGTCGAAAAAAGGAACCACCGGCGCCATGCTGTTCCCTGAAATAAAAGTTATATTTTTTAAACAAATATATTACTTTATGAATTTCTTTAAGCTGTATCGGACATAATTAAGAAAAACTGTGGTTTTCTTTCAATAAAAAAGGTAAAAACTTGACGCTTAAGAATATGAGTCTTTATTTTGCTATTAGAAATAAGGAAAGTATATCTTTGCGAACACTCCTTATATTTGCAAGGTATATAATTGTTTTCTCTAATTATTGGTGAATGAGACATTAAATTATGCAAAGCTGAAATCTGGAGCTGGACCTTTCTTGAATATTTTTTTTCCAAAAAGAAAAAAAAAATATCCTAAAAAATATTTAGATTTTTCTGATATATAGATCCTTATACACTATTACATGGATTCTTAATTCTTTGTCAAACATTTTGTTTTGTTTAATGTTTTTTTTATTTATTTATTTATTTTTTAATGTTTGTTTGTTTATTCTATTTTATTATTATTATTTGGTTGGTTGGTTCTTGGAGATATCCGCATGATACGCTGCTAACATACTCAAGGTCATAACCGTCAATAGTCAATACGGTCATTCACAAACAGTCCTTATACGTGTATAGAAATTATGTCAGGTACCGTCTCTTGTGATGGTGAGAACCATTAATCAAAATAACTGTGGATCTAGTAACCAAAAGAGAATCTCAAATAAAGGCTGTATACTTATTAAAATTGATTTTATAACAGTATGATTAGGCAGCACTTATACTGAACAAAATGTGCAATCGTTTGCATGTTCCATTGCCAGCTGTTTATGTAATTATGTACGTGTGTAAATGATTTATCAATGACTAAAAGTACAATTTATTTAAAAAAAGGTTGCAATATACAGAAATGGGATTGCAATAGCAGCAGTAGTATGCATTTCGGCGCGGTCGATGAGAAGTCGCCAGTCTGCTCCGTGAGAACAGTACACCTATAGGGTTATCTCCGCGGCAGAGTGTATCGAATGCGCCACACTGACAGTCGAGTGGGCAAACTTTGTACGGTTAACCACTTACTGCCAACTTAACTGCGATAAACGACCCTCGGGGGAATTTATCCTTCAATGTTGACAGTTATAATCCTAATAATGAAACAGAAAGCTGATTGGGGGTTCAGGGGGTGGTCGGTACGCTATTAGGCTTCGTAATTTCTTTCTTGTTTCGTGGTTACTTCAGATATAAAACGTTTCACGAACTTTGTTTGGGTCGGATGTAATTGACCCTGGGTGGCAAAATTTTATCAGCCCAACCTGTGATTTTTACGTGTGTATATGATACATAATTCTCTACGAGGAGATTGTCCTGTCACTTATACTTTGTGAAATATTTGTACTCAAAATGAAATTTCTGAATATGTGAATGGAAACTTAAATTTGCTTCGATTTGACAAACATTTCAAATATTTGGGGGGGGGGGTATCTATGATACTCTCATGTAAATTTTGCATTTCTCATGTTGTAAATTTTAAATTTACTTCCACCCAGTAAATTTAAAATGTATACAAGATAATACCGTTATAATCAATCAAATTAATTTAGAACAATGATTATATATAATCAAAAGAAGAGACGAGGTATGTCGTCTTAATAGAGACAAGTATGAAATGTTTGAAGCGTTGTTTCAAAGAGAAAGTTTAACATGTCCACAAGGTTAACTCATGATTGTGTACTTCAATTCGCGGTATTTACATTAGTAGATGATTCGGCATATTTTAATCAATAAATACTTTTTATACATCTATATAAAAATAAAATCCAAATAAAACCGATTCATGATTGCCCCCGAATATTTCACACCAATTGTACGAAGTTTTACAGATGGCCATGAAAGTAAACAAATCATAATTCATTTGCCAATGTAAAAATAAAAACTCAAAACCTTGCAAAAATGCATTCTGGATTAAAAGAATGTCAAATGTTCTTTTAAATGGATATCAAAACTCTAAATTCAAAAAAAAATTAAGCCATGATAAAAAAAAAATTCATGCTCATTACATGAAAGATACATAGAACTTTTAAAAATATACACTTTTCTTCAGCAAACACTTTAAATTCTGTGAACAGTCATGGAGATTAGGTCACTGACAAAAACTGGTTCTGAAATATAAATATAACAATTCCGTAGCCTTTTAAAAGATCACTTAAATTGGAGGCAATATATAATTGTAAAAAGAGTTTTTTGTTAATATCAATTTATTTAGTAAAAATAGCGATACTAGAAAGCCTAGAAAATTTCCATCAAAATGCTTAATCCGAGGGATCACGGGTAAATTTCTCTAATGCAATTTTGTAAGAATTCTAAATAAAATGATAATATTATAGATTTGATATTTATGCTATGTGACGTCATATGCATGGCGTCAGCACTATTGATTTCTTATATAGTTTAAAATCTAAATTTAGGAAATAACATGTATCTTTCGGGTTAATCAGTGTAGTTATGTATGAAATCACATTGTAGAACTTACGATTTCATTTAAATTTTTTTTCTTTGATTTTTAATTTTGTATACGACAATATTCTGAACAAATTATAAGCAATAAATATTTATATACTGCATAAAATATCAGGATATAGAACTTGAACGAAAAAAATTAAATAAATTATTTTATATCAGGGTTTTGAATACAAGCTTTTATACACTATATATATATATATATATATATATGTATATATATAAAACGTTTTTTTTTAGAAAAAGGAGGTTCATTTACAAATGAATTGTTAGATTTAGATATAATTTCTAGAAGAGTACAGGATAGAGGGGCTTGATCTAACACTCTGGGACCGGCGAGCTGAGAGTGACTTTGGACAAACAGATTGAAGATGACACGATGGAGAGTGCTTAGCCATTGTTTGATAAAAGGTTTCCGATTACAACGTATCGACTTTAGGGCAACACAAAGTGATTCATCAACAACGTCACGTGATGTTTGAAGGGTACCGATGACACCAAATTAAATCACTACTGTTTTGGAAGATTTTGGCCCTCCCATGGTATAAAGCCCAAATTATTTCTAATTCTCCTATTGAACATTTTCCCAGTCTGGTGGGGAACTTAATTAAGAAACGATTAAATAAAGAAATTGAATCTATTTTACATTCAGTTTGATATTAAACAAATAATTGTTCTTGGGTGGCTGAAGTCGTGTTTCAATTCGGTAAATATTAAGACTCTTGATATGAGTGTAACTGACAGTAAAAGTCTACCGACAGATAAGCGAGCATATGACGGAGTCGCACGAACGCTAGGGGATTTCAAGATCAAAAATTGATTCACTGAAGTTTTCCATTTATGTATTAATGGCGCTAATGAAGATTTCGGGTATCGGCTTGTTGTTCATTGCACGACACCTTGATTTTATTACGTCAATATCCGACAAAGATGGATTGTGTCAATAAGGAATATCAAATAAAAATTTCAAAGATCCAGTATAGAGTCGCTTCATTTGTCAGACTATACCTCCTTTTCACAAGCACCTCCTGGTTATCTTATCAAGGTATAATGTTAGACTTGTATAAAAAAAAAAAAAAAGAAAAAAAAGAAATGAATGAAAAAAAAAAAGAAATCCACTTTTTAAAGTTTGCTTTTTAATATATCTAACTAGTCATAAGGAGGTGGAAAAAAACATTTTACAAAAAAGCAATTCAAATTAATCATTGCTATCTATGGGTCTTGTATCTATGTGATATGGTAAATGCTGAATTTATCGGATGGTAGTAAATACATAATTTATACAACAGTAAATTTTGTATTTACTTCACCCAAAATTTACAACATGACATCTATATGCTTCTTTTTACAGCAAATAAAGATTTACACAATGCCTTTAGTACGGCTTCATTTATTGTTGAAAATTGTTTGATTTTTAATATAATATGTTTTTAAGGGGGGGGGGGGGACTGATATACATATATGTTTGATTTTATTTCCACTTCTTGATAACATTAAAAATATGACGAATTTCATCATTATTTG